TCATGTGCTTTTAATTTTTATTTCTTTGATGAATGGTAATTTTGAGCACACTTTCAAGTGCTTTTGGCTATTTTCTATCAAATAAGAATGAATTTCTGTTCCAATCCTCTGCTTGTTTTTAAATCAGTTTTTGTCATTGTTCATGAGTTGTAGCATGAAAGATAATGTTGAGCACAGAATTCCAAGTTAAGGGTTATTTTCTCTCAACTCTACCAGTAATAACCTGCTTCCTCTTAGCGTCACTATTTTAATAACCCTCAAGTTTATCTAAATGAGTTTTGTATTTGTTTATGTGTCTTTGCAATCAGTCCTGCCTCATCATTACAATATTTTAATATTGCTTCTTTGAGTTCCTTGTACCTCCTAGCAAGGCTTGTCCTTCAAAAATCCAGTGGGGAATACAACCCCCAAATATTATCACAGTGCTCGCTCTTCTCATTGCTCTGCTCTGCTCTGTAGAAACAGCTGTTAGTTATGCTGGATTATCCGCTCTGCTTTCCAGTGCCTCATCTTGTTTGCCCTGTTGCTCTGGCTAACTTCTTTCTCTGGTTTTCAGTTTACCAGGTGATCTGGGTTTAGCTACTGTTTAGTCTGTACCATGAATTATTTTTAATGTTGTGTGTTTTATTATCACTAGTTACGTTTTGTTTCATTTGTATTTTCTAACAGGACTCTTATGAGAAACATCCTACCGTACTTGTTGTCTTGAAGCACTTTTGATCATTAAAATCCCACTCTTTTATTATTCTACATATGAATTAATATAGTACTTAATAATTGATTATTAATATTAACTAATTACCATAATTTATTCTGTCTTTGGTTTGCTCTTACATTCCATGTTTGTGTTTTTATTACATTATCTTCCATGTCAAAAGGAACTTAACCTATTGGACTTATGAGAGTCTGCATTTGGATCTTTTTCTTACATGAAAGAGAAATTTGCTACTGATAGAGCAAAAGTGAGGGTCTTATAGTCAGGAATCAATTTAGTTTGATTTCTCTCCCACTTGACAAGTGGTTTCTTATCTATAGACCTATAATATATTTTCCAAGGACCTAATCACACATAGATATGCTGATATATTTGTGTATCAAAAAATTATAGAAAATCTATACAAGGTTTTAATTTTTAAAATGATTACACTTTTTAAACAGACATGATTTTCCCCACTCACCTAACATTGATGGCATGTAGATATCTTCCCAGTATCCATGTGTTCATTCTGATAGCCCTCTCATTCTGAGTTTAAGGTCAGAATGCTATTACACTGAGTAGAAAACATCCCTGAGGGTGTAGATCCTCATTTAGATTTTGTCTTAAGGGTTGCCTCATTTCCAAGCTTCCATTTATTTTCCTTTATCGCTTTAAGTTGATATATGCTTGTATATATGTGTGGGGAGGGTATCTGACATGTAAGCATTCTCCTGTTTTGTGATTTTGACATGCATTTGAAAGCTAAAATTTACTATTCATCAGAAAATTTTGTAACAATGAAGGACTTTTCAGAATATGTTATCTGTATTCAGACAGTGAATATGCCCCAAATCGAGAAAAACTAAACCTTTTGAGAAACTTGCTCAGAGGTATTGTTTTGACTTACTTGAACAACATGAGTTGAGTCAGAATATATTGTTTTAATATTTTTATTGAAGTAAATGTTATCAAACATCTAGTGGTTTTATATCTCTTCAAATGGGCAGTTTTGGTGGGGGGTTCTCTAAAACAATGGAACAAGGGTGTTCATGATGGCAAAAGAGACATGTTGATTTCAGCTGTCAGATTTATAATCAGAAACAATCACAAGAATATGAAGTTAGAATTGGAGCCTCTCAAATACATGTGCATGGAACTGGAGAGATAACTCAGCAGATAAGGGCACTGGCTGCTTGTGAAGAGGACCTGGCTTTGAGTCCCTGTATCTACATGGTGGCTAACAACCATCTGTAACTCCATGGGGAATCCTATGCCCTCTTCTGACCTCTGCAATCATTGCATGAAATGAGTGCACTTACATACATGCAGGCAACACATTCATATGTACAAAATAATAAATAATAAACAAAATATTAAAAATAGGTGTGCAGATATATACACATTTACAGACACTTTGGGCCTTATATTCTGTGCCTTTTACTTGATTTTTGTAGCTAATTGGAATATTCTTAGAATTCCAGATTATATTTGATGAGTTTATTCATTACTCAATTAAAATCATTATACTGATTGCACACTGTATGTGTCTTAAAAGAAGTTCTACCAAGACAAATTGGTATTGGATGAGGTGGCAGAGGGCTACAATTCCAGGACTCAGGAGGAAGATGTCAGTTCAGGTCAACTTAGCCTACATAATCAGACCCTGTCTCAATACCAACAAACAAAAAAACCACAGCAACAAACCCTAGCAACTACAAAAATGTAACTTAGCAAGGAGTTTATCTTTGAGAAACAAATGTAAAAATAGTTACTAATGTATGAGCTATAGAACACATTAGCAGGAAAAGGATAATCAATCACAGCCCTGTGGAATTAGGCAGATGACAGAAGCCTTTCCAAGGGGCAATTTGAGAGAAATGATGAATTCTATGTGGTTGAAGGGGTAAAGCCACCCAGTAGCTGAGATCTTGTGCATTGTATTTGTGTAAGTAGAGATGGCATACAATAGGAAATCCACACAATTCTACTATACTTTGAAAGGTAACTTAGTAAGGAGTTTGTCCTCAAGAAAGAAATGTAAAAATAATTACTAATATATGAGCTACAGAACATCGTAAGTATAATATTCCTAACATCCTTGAGATATTGTATCATCAGTGTAATATTCCTAACATTCTTTGTATTGCCTGTAATTTTCCTAATGTTGAGGATGAGCAAAGAGGCTGAAAACCATTTATAAAAATTAATGATAACAGGAAATAGGCACTGGAGCTGGAGCAGGAAGTCTGCCCTTCTCTTCAGCACTACCTCTTGCAGCCAGAGAGCTCCCCAAAGTGGAGCAGAAGGAAGCACACCCAGAGTGAATGGGGAAGTGTAGCTTTACGTGGGGCCGTAGAGATGGCTTGATGGTTAAGAGCACTGGCTGCTCTTGCAGAAGAGAACTGGACTTCAATTCTCAGAACCCACCTGGTAGCTAACAACCACCTGTAACTCCAATGCCAGGGCCTCTGACACCTTCTTCTGATCTCTTGGACACTGCACAACACAGGTGCACTTACAGCAAGACAATATGCTCATATACGTTGTGACTCATGCCTTTAATCCCAGCATTCAGGAGGCAGAGACAGGCAGATCTCTGTGAGTTCCAGGCCAGCTGGGGCTACAGGGAGACCCTGTCTCAAAAAGACCAAAATAAATAAATATTTTAAAGGAAGCATTGTATTACTTTTGTCTCAGAAACAAACAAACAAACAAAAAATATGTTGTGTAGTGAAGGAGGTTCAAGTTCAGAATGTTCCAGTTTACTGTGACTATCATGAGGGGATGCTGCAGAGTGAGAGCTTGCTAATGTGGGAGCTAGAAACACTGCCAAGGCGCTATAAGAGCCATGCAGTCTCAGGAAAGTTTCCTGGAGACTCAAAAGCCTGACAGCATGATAGCTCATATCACTAAGCACCTCACTTCACAGCTCCACACAGCTGCTGATTTCCGGGTCCTCCTCTGCTTTGCTGACAAGTGGTATAAATCTGGAGTTTTCTAGCTTGAGGACTTCTTTTGAAGGTGAAGCTGTAGTGAGTTCATGGGTTGAAGAGCAGCAGCCTAGGCTGGTGTCAGTACTTGGGCAGCTCTATTCCTGAGACCCAGGAACTGGGCCCTCCCCACAGCACTGAACAGGTCTTCATTTTCACAGGTGTCTTGTAAAGTTGAGGAGCAATTGACCAAGATTCTCAAAGTACTGTTTGCTAGAAAACATCAAACTTTGTTAAACAAAGACAAGTCCAGGGCTGAGTGTTAATTGTCAGAGATAGTGACTAAATAATCTGGCTCTGTGTTAATATTTATTGTTTTATCTAATCGCCAAAATGTGTAACAATTCATTTTAGTTCTCTTCTTTTTTTCTTTATTTTTATTATTTTTTATGTGTATGAGTGTATTGCTTGCACGTCGGTAGGGGCACCTGTGTCATACAATGCCCCAGAGGTCAGAAGTAGGCACATTGGATTCCCCTGGAACTGGAGTTATAGATGATTGTTAGCTGCCATGTGTGTGCTGGGAATCGAACTGCAGGGTCCTTTACAAGAACAGCCAGTGCTCATAACCACTGAATCATCTCCAGCCCAATTTTTTCTTTTTAAAATGTCCTACTGTTTTTAAGACACATTCCCATGCTTGTTTTTTAAGATGCCTAACTCTTAAATGCAGGACAGCAGTTCATGTGCTCATTGTGACTTTGCAGAATCCAGACTTGATTGGTTTTGGTCATTTCTACAGAGCCCACACTTGGAAGGATGTTAAAAATGAACTTAGCTTCCAACTTTCATATTGATTTCCTGTCAGTTAATTCCATGTCATTCAATCCCTGTTAATTGTTGCTTTTGAAAGATGTTCAACTCTGGTGGTTTTTAAGAAAACTAACTTTTTTATTTCAGTAACAAATTGGCACTTAAAGCATAAAATAGTCCATCTTCGGTGGCACATGGTACTTTCGCTTAGCTGGAGTGGAAAGCTACCAATTGGAGAAGTGGTTTCTCAATGAAGCTGCGGTCACCTAGGACCACTGGACTTTGGTTTGTGTGTGCTGGGAATTCATTAGACAACGGTGACTGATACTAGGATTTCCATGCTAATCATTATTTCAGGTTTTCGAGGCCTCTGCAGTAAAACATTAATGATTATTTATGCTTTAAGAAGTGTTGATAAGGAATGAGATTATGTACAATTTTGTACAATTTTAGCTGAAAAATTAAAATGTAAATTAATTTTTCCCTAAGACAGAAAATAATGTGTAGAGCAAGAAGTACAGCCTTCCTTCCCTTTTAATTTTCTCTTTCCTGTTTTCCAGATATTCAAAGTATCAGAGGGCTAGCAGTGGACTGGGTCTCACGTAATTTGTACTGGATTAGCTCAGAATTTGATGAAACACAAATAAATGTGGCAAGGCTAGATGGCTCTTTGAAAACCTCAATTATCCATGGGATCGATAAGCCACAGTGTCTGGCAGCTCACCCAGTCAGGGGGTAAAGTATGATTATTTTCTAAAACACTTTACAATATTTTATATTTTGATTCTGATTTTACATAAAATAGTTATTTAATTCAGATGTTGTGTGTTGAGTAGAGAGTCAGAAAAAGAAATGTAAATAAGGAAATTTTAAAGGAGATTCAGAATCCCAGTTACAGTTTTATCCAGATAAAATACAATTTCTAGGATCTCACTAATGTCTATTTCTAGGGATTGAGAGTTTAGAATAGAACGAGTAACAGAGGAAAGCTGATTGCATCTTGATGTAGCTGTTAACATTTCCTGACTGCTGATAGCATGGTCCTATAAGTCACCCTGCTCCCCTCTCTGATGAATCATCAGCAAAAGGAAATTCTAGGAGCGCTTTCAGCAGACGTGTATGAAATGTTTGTTCCCATCTAATGTCTAATTCCTTCACAGCCAAGAGGATTTCATCTCAATGAAGGACAAAATGAAAGTAATTTCCTGTAGTCGTGGTTGAATATTCAGATTTGAATGTAGAAGGAAAACTAGAATAAGATAATTCTCCTTCAAAGAGAGAAAAACTTAAGAGTGATGCTTTCTTCCTCCATAAGTGCACAGGGTTCATCAGCAAGGAACTCAGCAATTTTAGACTTTTCTGCAAAAGAAGTAACCTTGTACCCAGAATGTATTTCCTTGCTTACTTTGCTCTTTGGTATATGTTTCTACTCAATCAATGAATTGTTTTAATTCGTATCTCTTATGAATTAAGGAAACTGTACTGGACAGATGGAAATACAATTAACATGGCAAATATGGATGGGAGTAACAGCAAGATTCTCTTTCAGAACCAAAAGGAACCAGTTGGTAAGTATTTTATCTGTAATAGCTAATAGCGACAGATGTTTTATGTGTTAAACCAATATACCTTTGGCCTAGATGCTGAAAAATTATGAATTAGTAGTAGTAATTAAATCAGGAGTTAAACAGTTCCATGGAGTCTGCTTTTTCTCTATGAAGTATAGTATAGAAACATCATTCTTTCAGTCTTATTTCCTTTGTGTGTGGGTGAGAGGTTGCTATTACATTTTTCGTTAGCACACAGTCTTATGTGTTTCTTTATCTATCTTCAGGCATACATGTCATTTCACTTTACTTGCTTCCCACTCAGTTCTCTTCTCACCCCTCAGTCCTCGACCAGACTCCTCCCAGACAGGCCCCTCTACTTTCATGGCTGACTACAATTCCATTCTGCATGCGGATCACATTTCCTTGATCAGTCCATCTGTTGGCAGGCCTCTAACCTGGTTCCTTATTTTGGCTATTGTGGATACTATACTTATAAACATGGATGTGCAAGAATCTGCATGGTGTGCTGACTTAAAACCCTTCAGGCATGTGCCCAAGAATTAAATAGTTGGATTCTACGATACTGCTAGTTCACCTCATTTAAAAAAATTTTCTTCTTATTGTGTGAGCATGCATGTTTGTGGGCATGCATGTGCAGGTGAATGTTGAGGCCAGAAGTCAATCTCACATTTTGCTCCTCAGGCACAGTCCACTTTATGTTTGAGACCAGGACTCAAGGCTCTGATTCTGCTGCACTGAATTGTATTGAGCCACAAGGACCTTCTTGTCTCTGCCCCAGCTCTAAGATTACATGTGTACACTAACACTCTTGGCTTAGCTTATGGGTGCTGGGTATTGAATTAAGGTTCTCATGCTTGTACTTTACTGAAAGAGCTATCCAGTTCCTGAAGCAGTTTTAATTTACATTTTTCTGATAACTATGAATGTTGAACACATTTCCCAATATATTTGGATATTTTTATTTCTTCTTTAGAGAAATATTAATTCAATTAATTAGGCCAGGTATTGGTTGGATAGTTTGGCTTTGGGGTATTTAATTTCTGCAGTTCTTTACAGATTCCAGATGTGAATCCCTTGCCCACTGTGCATTGGCAGAGATCTCCCATTCAGTCGTCATCTCTTCACTCAAAAGATGGTTTCCTGTGTTGTGCAGAAACTTTTTAACTTCATGAAATCTCATTTGTCAATTCTTTTTCCTTTTCTTTATCTTTTATTCACAGAAAAACTATTTTATATTTATTAAACTTATTTTCTCCATCCATACTTTGGTATTAAGACAAAGTATCTCAATGAAACAGTAGAGTTAGATATCTACAAATTGAAATATGAAATAGTTGTCTCCAACTATTTTAGTTGTTTGTTCTAAAATACAGATTAAACACATTTTGACACTCCAAACTTTCTACAATCTCAATACCATTCTCTTTATATATATATACATTATATATATGAAAAATCTCAGTAATATATAACATTTTGCTCACCATTAACAAGTCTATTATGTGAAATGCACATATTGACTTAGAAATCCTAGCTTTTTAGTCCTCTAAAATTTAACACAGTACAAGAAATGAAAATTGCAATATGTAATTTAAGTTTTGGTTGAAAATGTCAGATGCCTAAATATTTTGGATAAAAAAAATGTGAGACAAAGATTTGAATCATGTACAAAATAAAGGCTTTTTATCAGGAACAGTAACTTTCTGCAGAATCAACAGGCTTTATAATTTATCAGTGGCATTATTTCCCCTCTTCCAAAAACTCTCCTCAAATATCAAACCATTATTTACCAAATCATTTTAATTTCAAATAAAAGGAAATTCAATAACTATAGCATTCCATTTACTGGTTCTTAGGGGTATTTCTTTTTCAGAAAATCCTTGCCTATGTATTTGAAAGGTTTTACTTGTATTTTCCTTTGATACTTTTTAAGCTGACAGGGTAGAGAGTTGGACCTGCCGTCACTCTTCTATGTGCGTGTGCAAGTGCACCATTTGTTGAAGAGGCTGGTTTCCCCCCAATGTTTGCTGTGGATGTGACATATTCCTGTATCTAAAAGACCCTCAAGATTCTACCAAAAAAACTCTTAAAACTTAGAAAATATTTTTAGAAATGTAGCAGGATACAAAACCAACATAGAAAGATCAGTAGCTGGACTGTCCATGTAACTTGGCGGGAAACTCTTACAAGCATGTGGGAGGCTCTGGGCTCAATTCCCAGCAGAAGTCAATAGATATTCTATACTCCAGTAAAGAAAGTGCTCCAGAAGAATAGGTTTCCATTCACCATAACTAAAAAAAAAAACATGGAAACTGAGACAATAGGCTTTCCATGCACAGGAAAAATACCCAAGACACGCATATGGAGAAGTTGGGAACATTTCTTCATACTGGCAGACTCAGAGTTTCCTCCTGAAAAACACACACTCTGAGTTTAGTTCATTCACAGATTTTATAAATTTCCCTGAATCATTTCTTAACTGTTACAACATTGCTGGGTTTAAGTTACAGTCTACCTGATGACCAGAAGAGATACTGATGTGCACTAAAACTACTGGGTGGTGGGGGGTTCCTTCTGCAGGCATGTTCGTGGAGGCAGACACTGAGGGCAGCAGTTAAGGCATTCTTTAATAACATGGCAACTTAGCAGCAATAGATGTTCCACTAGATAACTGTGATATTATTTTCTCAAGATAGTTTAGAGTTCTTTGTTCTCCATTTTAAAGTTTTGAATTTTCTATCAGCACAAATTTTTCGTAAGCATTTATAAATCCACTATAAGGTACAGTGCCCTAAAATATAAAATCAGTCATAAACTAGTAAAAACAATGTCAGACACACAAGTGACATTAAATGCTTGAGTATACTTCATTTCCTCTCCAAAACAAACAAACAATATCAACAACAATAACAACAAAGCACTAATAATAAACAAAACCAAGCTATGAAATGACTTGATAATAAAGTTTTACAACACTGAGACATTAACTGATGAAGTTAGAAAGACTGGTAAGACCTCTCATGCTTATGGATTGACTGAATGAAAGTTCTAAGAATGACTCCATTATTAAAGTAATATATATTCAGTCTAGTCTCCATCAAAATTCCCATTACATTTTTTACAGGGCTGAAAAAAGTATGGCTTGATTTAATGTGGGCACATATGCTATGCTAAATCACAGAAGCAATCCTAGTAGAAAGAGCAGCACTAATGTATCAAAGTAGCTAAAATCAAATTAGAGTACAGAGCCACAGTAACAAAAACCACATTGTGCTAGCACAAAAGCCAGCATGTAGATCAACAGAGTAGACTGAAAAACCGAGAAATATATTCTTTTAGTTTTATGTGAGCTCTTGGTTGAGTCTGGGATCCTAGTTTGCACTAGAACTGGTTAACAAGAAGAAAGCCTAAAATTTACGTGATTCTGGGAGTTTTTAGATGAAAGTGAAGTCCAAAGAAATAACCAGGTATAATGCTTATGTTTATACAAAGAGAAGTGAGTTTGCGAAAGAATGGTAGGTTAAGGGATGTAGTGGTGTCACTAAAAGATGTATGGGGATGGGGTAAGTAGATGGAAAAGGACTGACAAAAGCCTGTTTCTTCAGGATCATTGGAACAATATCCATCCTCTAGTGATCAAATCTGCTTTACCTTGCTCCATAAAGGATAACCATTCTAAAACAAAGTTTATGGCTTATTATAGGTAGGGAAAAAAATAGGTCAAGTAGCCCTTTCTGAAAGTATAGTTACTCGAGTGATTTCAGGGAGAAATAATCAGTATGCCAGTGCATCCTATTTTCCATGAACTATTTCAGAGGCAAAGAGGACATTTGTTAAATATGAAAGTTGTTAAAAACAACACAACAGCGCTGAAAGAAAGCCTTGAACTGTTCTTATAAAACAACTTTGAAAATCTTAAATAAAAAATTTCTTTTTGAAGTGACTGCAATATTTGCACACAGATATCTGTGCATAATAATAATGGTTTATAACCTTAATAAAATGTGCAAGTGATAAATATGCAACAGAAAATAATAATTTGAGTTGCATATAGTAGTTTTTAATTGAGAAAGTAATACTATAACATGAAGCTTTTTAGGAATGTAAAGAACACACTGACTTGAAGTAGCTCATTTTATTTATTTATTTATTTATTTATTTATTTATTTATTTATTTATTTATTTTGAGACAGACTCTCCCTGTAGCTCCAGCTGGCCTTGAACTCACTGTGTAGAGCAGGCAGACCTCCATCTCATGGAGATTCACTTGCCTCTGCCGCCTGAGCACTGGGATTAATGACATGCACCGCCAAGACCAGTCAAAGTAGCACATACGTAGAGTAATGACTCAATACAGGTGCAGCATTACTAAGAAATAAAGAATGCCTTTCATATAGCCTATAAAGCAAAACCTTTGTTATAAAATGATAGTTATTAGCTCTTTTCTTGGTGTTATTTGTTCTAATATTCATACACAATTAAAATTTAAGACAGTGTTAAACAGAGCAAGTACTTCTGTGTAGAAAAATATATAACAAAGGAAACCAGACACTGTAGAAGACAGGGCTCCACACTAAGGACTTAATCAGAATGAAGGACTCAGCTGCTGCTTTCCTGAGCTTGCTCAGAATGTGCAATGCTGAAAACTATGATGAACAAATCAATTCTTTACATGGTAATGTGGGAGATATGGTATACCACAATATTAATTTTTACACTTGTTTCTATAGTAGAGAAGACTTTCTTTCTTTTAATATTGCATATCCCTTTCCTTAATTAAAATACACTAAAGTAAAAAAAATCCACAAAAGTTTATACTTTTAAAAACTAAATTTATGGGAGGTTGTCAAGGAGGAAGGGTGAAAAGGAGGGTTAATGTTAATTTGCAGTTTGCATGGTGTGCTTGCTTCTCTAGATGTCCTGCCCTGATCAGTGACTTATAGGAGATAACTTCTAAATCTCTCAGCTATTGTTGCATTTGACAGTTTTTGTTTTAA